GGATTTTTGTTCAAGATTTTTTTTCAGGGATTTTGTTCAGGGTTTTAGTTCAGGGTTTGTGTTCAAGGTTTGGGTTCAGGGCTTTAGTTCAGGGATTTTTTTGTTCAGGGTTTGGGTTCAGGATCTTTTTTCAGGGATTTTGTTCAGGATTTTTGTTCAGAGTTTATGTTCAGGGTTTTGGGGGTTTTTTTGGTTCAGGGATTTTGTTCGGGGTTTTTGTTCAGGATTTTTTTTCAGGATTTTTTTTTCAGGATTTTTTTCAGGGATTTTTGTTCAGGTTCTCCTGTCGGAAGTGGAACAAACTCCATCCTCAGAGGATGATGCATTTTCCTTTCTCCACCCAGGGGTTGTTCTTCATCAGCTCCGGGTTCAGGAAGGGATCCTCGGGAATTCCATCCTCAATCCACTTGACAAACCTGCCGAGAGGGGAGGGGGAGGCTGGCACAGCCCCAGGGCGCCACAATTCGGGCATTTGGGGGGTCTGGGGTAAACCCTGCTCTGCTGGGGGCAACAGAACCAGCGGAAATCTCAATTATTTTCAGCCCTGGAGAGAGGGGATCTGTACCCTGGGGGGGTCCTACTTAAAAAATCGAATTTTTAAATAAAAAACATATATAAATATTGCTATTTATCACTATCATTATCGATATATAACTGTATCCTGTGTGTATATATATATACACACATATTTAATATATAATATATAATATATAAATGTATGTTTTATATATGTATATATAATATATAATGTTATATATTTATAATATGTATTATATATTATGTATTTTCTATATTTTACATATTATATATTATGTATTATGTATTATATATTATGTATTTTCTATAAAATATATAATATAACGTATAATATAAAATATAGATTATAGATAATATAAGATATATATTTATAATGTATGTGTTTACAAAATTAGATATGAAATGTAAAAAATTAAAAATAAAATGGCTCAAAATAACTTTATAACTTGAATAACTTATGTAACTTAATATAAACTTATAATATGAAAATATAACACATAATAAAAAAATATATAAACTAATATAAACTTACATCACTTAAATAACTCCACATAACTTATATCCCCAAATTATCTGTTCTGCTAATATGAAATATTAAATTCTGCAGCTTTAAAACTATTTCCAAAAATAATAATGAAAAAAAAAATTCATTAACATAAACTACACCTGCTCCCCCCACATCCTGCTCACAAACTATATTATCTACAATAAACAATAAAAAAACCTTTTTTTTTTCCTTTCAATTAGTTTTTCTAAGAAGTTAAAATTTAAAAAAAAGGGAGGGTCCCATGGTGACACCAGGGGGGGATTTGGGGACACCAGGGGGGTTCTGTCCTTGGGGCCTGGAGATCCAGAAAGGGAAAATTTAATCTGAGAGCTCCTGGGGAGCTGGGGGGGATTTTGGGGGTGGGTTCTGCTCTTGGGGGAAAAGGGAAAAGGAAAGGAAAGGAAAGGAAAAGGAAAAGGAAAGGAAA